CGTGCAAAGTCACGTTAAAAACGCGACGCGTGCTGTTTGTTTATGGAGCTCCGTGCTAGAGTTCTGCTCCCGCGATTTATTCGGAAATTTATTCCCGCGCCGCAGAAATCTGGCGCGGGGACAGCCGCGGGAATAAATTTCCGAATAAATCGCGGGAGCGGTCGGTAACGGGTTTAATTTGGGACGGGAGCGGGCTGTCTAGCAATATCACGGATATTGCTATGCGAATTAGAAAGAGAGAGTCTGCGTGGTGCTTGTGTGTGTGTGTTAGTGCGCACGCGCGCGTATGAGAGAGAGAGCGAGCGAACGAACGAACGACAGCTTGGCTGTCTGGACTGTATACTGGGTGATTTTTGGTTGTGTTCTCCGCTCTAGCGGGACCGGGCGCGGCGGGCAGAAAACGGAGCGGGTTCTCAGGCTAAAACCTGGCGGGTGCGGGCGGAAGCGTTGTCATCCGGAGGTGTGTGTGTGTTTTTGTGTGTGTGTGGTATGGCCAGTACACGACTGTCTCCTTCGTTCGGTTATCCGTGGCACTATCCACTCGCCATAGTGTGGCAGCTAAAATCCACGTCTGCACTATCGAGCGTGTATGAACTGTGATTACTTTTTAAATTGCTGATTAGCTATTGGCCATTTCCCTCTCTGACTGAAGGCAGTCGACCAATCGCGACAGACTGTCATTGGTCCAATCAGCGCAGATTAGCTCCGCGCTAAGGAGGGGTTTGGGAACAAATGAATCACTGGACGATTCATACAGGAGTCGCTGGGATAATTAGGTAAAAATAAATGCAGATTATAAGACCATGAAAGTGTTTTTTGACCTTGCATGCATATTAGACTGTTGTTGGAGACCCTTACAACCAGGATATGACCCTATTTCATGTATAATATGGGCTCTTTAAGAGACTTCACAAACATTAATATGGTGGCTCGTGTGTTAAGTAGGAAAATGTATAGCCATAACTGCCAGCGCCTTGGACTCCAACAAATACATTGTCAACGTCTCGCATTCAACAGAAGGGCAGACGGTTTCAGTCTATTAACTGATAAGTAGATAAGTGTGAGATTTGAACTGCCTGACAATATATTGAAAGCTTTAATATAATGAAAGTGGAAATGACTTTAGGACAGGTCTTGCAAAGTTCATGAACTGAAAATAAAAAATAAAAAAAATAAAAGTAATCAGCAAGGTCTTTTATTCCTATCCTCCACCTAAAAAAGCTCAGGTATCCATTTTCTAAATTGGTCAAGCCAATATTTTCAGTTTGTGTTACTATAAAGTAAAACAGTTTTATTTTCAAAGTCTTTAAAGAAGTAATTAAATCCAATAATGGCAAAACTGAATTTACTCCAGTGAAATGATCTTTTATAAACCAGTCTAATGATGAAGAGATTATCCTGGTCTCTTGCTACAGACATTAATGGACTCTGTTTAAGCAGTTAATTTTTTTCCAGGTCAAGAACTGCTTTTTCTGTAGTAGATTTACATGCAACAAGACCAAAATGGGCACCTAATGGAGGAAAAAAACAGGAATTTCAGTTTTACTATCGACATCAAATCTGAGAACTCAGATTAAAAAATGTTCAAGTCCCACTAAGCTAATGCTATGGCAGGCCTAAACTTCTGACTCCTCTTAGAAGTTCACCTTTCCCCAGCATCCCACAGGTGCGTGCCGTGTTCCCCCAGTAGAGCCGAATATAGGAGTGTGTGCTGAATCTGGTTTCCTTTTGTAATAACAAATACAGAGAAGCACAGAGGTGAAAACCACAGGCATTAGCAGCTGACCTCCCAGCTGGGTTAAGGTTATGAGCTATGGTTTTCGTGCTGTATGAAATGAAAAAAAAAATAATAATAATTTCAAAACTCAACCTGTGGCATCAAAAACATTGCAAGTGCAATTGGAAAAGAAAGAAATCCTACTAAAATAGAGGCTTGTAAAATAAACAAAAAAACTCCCCTTAAAGAGGTTTTGGGAAATTTAACCACTGTCAATTCATTTTTAGATTTTAAAAACTTGTCCCCAAAAAAATATGGTTACGGAGGTACACTCAAACACAGACGTACTTAACCTAGGTGGAAATTGCAGGTTGTGTCAGATTTCCTGTAAGGCTCTCTTGAGTGGCACCTTGGCAGAGGAACAGAGTGCAGTAGGACATGTGTGAAAGCCTGCTTTAATTGCATGGAGAGAAGAGAGCAGAGGTGTTTGGCTCTGACTGCGGTCTGCTGTCCTGCCTGTCACACCAACTCTTTGGGCAGACTGGAGCACAGACCAGCTCAGTTTACTATGCTTCAAATGTAGTGTACACCATACCTGCCAACACTCCCATTTTTCCCGGGAGTCTCCCGTATTTCAGACCCATCTCCTGTTTTGTTCTGTCTCCCGGAAAACTCCCAGAATTCTGATTCTAATGATGAACTTGCCTCTCACATAAAAAAGAAAACAACCGAGATCCAAAGGTCTGTCCAAAATTGAACTATCACTTTCACCTCTATGCACGGCAGGATTGGTGCTAACGAGGACAATTTGAGAACCTCCTGCCTAAAAGAAAAAAACTGATGATCTCGAGAACCAGATCAGGGGATCACATATGAAGATTATAAACATGGCCTTAACACGTGTGTAAATCGTTTCCCAAAAGAGAAAAAATCTTACCATATTACAAAACGTAGTCGCTTCTACAGTAACATTAGACGGGCTGCATCTCCTAAACAATAAAAGCAATAACTTTTTTTTAGTTTAACCTAATTAACTGCTTTACCTGGAGAACGTGAACTGATGTCAATCATTTGTTGTTTAGCTGAAGGTGGGGTGCGGGTGTAGTGCTTTGCATCCTGTTTTGTTTGTTATTTTTTCGATGCCATGTTTCTTGCAGTTGTCAAGAGTTTTACTTACACATAATCTACATTTAAGGACAATCCACTTCTTTTCTTCGATGAGTTAAAAAAAAAAACAAGAATCCATTTTCAAAAATGTTACGTCTCCGGCCTGCCATTCTGTCTGTAGTGATGATGGGCGATTCACAAATGAATCGTTTGTTTTAACCTGATTGTCTATGTCAGTTGTCACCAAACTTGTTGCTGGAGGGCCGGTGTCCTGCAGATTTTAGCTCCAACCCTAATCAAACACATCTGAACAAGCTAATCAAGGTCTTACTAAGTATACTTGAAACATGCAGGCAGGAGTATTGAGGCAAGATGGAGCTAAACCCTGCAGGGACACCAGCCCTCCAGGACCAGGATTGGTGACCCCTGGTCTAAGTGAACCGATCAAACCAGTACATTAAATTGAACATAGTTGTCGTGAAACAGTTTCAGGAAGTACTAACATAACGGATACCCCATCTGACTCAAAATAAACCAATATCCTGAGTTATTCAGTTACTACAACAGTGCACTGACTCATCTGCTGTGAAAAAAAAGAGATAATGATGATGAGTGAGATCTGACTGTCTGTTCCCTTACAGCACACTTTCTCATTGAGTGTGATTCAACCTGAATAAGGTCATTTTTAATCCGCAATGTGTTTTTTTTAAAGCCCGCAACTGTTAGGGAAAATAAACGTCACTATTCCGATTACTCTGGATAGAGCCGACCGCGTCAAAAGGTTTTCCGACAGGACCAGACCCATCAACGCTAAATTTCTAAATTACAGAGAAAAGAATAAGGTTCTTAAACTGGCAAAAGACAAAGGTGAGCTGTCACTAAATGAAAATTGAACCTCTTTCTACCCAGACTACAGTGTCAAGATGCAACGCAAGATTAACAGATTCAATGATGTGAAGAAAAAAACTTCGGGAGAAATGTGGCAAGCATATTAAACTGTTTTTAGTGTTTTTTGGAGATGCATTTTACCACTGATATTTTCATGCCTGCAAGTAAAAAATGTATGGACAAAAAAACAATTTTTTAGTCCATTGTAGGGCTGGACAATTGAAATAAATAAATAAATAAATAAATAAATAAATAAATAAATAAATAAATAAATAAATAAAATTACAAACACAATGGAGCAAAGTTCCGATCGTCATGTATATCTGGTCAGGGAAGCATGGGGTGATTAGTAGAAATTCTCTGAAAGCCAGAGGGTGCTCTGACACCAAGGAAATCACCAGAGCAGTTGCTGAATAAACAGAAATTGACTGCTTTCATTGATCCACCAAGACCAACAGCATTACAAGAACCAGTTTTGCTGACAAAATGCGCATGAAAAATGTTCTTACATTATTCTCGTATGCATGTTGTTATGATTAACCATAACTAGGGCCAGACGGAGTTATTTCTGCGGAGAATTTTGCTAAAAATCTGCAAATTTCTGCAGAATTATTTTGGGAGTATCATAACTAAAACCTTAATATATCAAATGAAAAAATAATATCTTTTTAACTTAAAAAAAAATTCAATTTGTTGTTTAAAATAAAATACAATTAGATTCACTCTATTTGGTAAAAAAAAGCAAGTCTCTCATATAATATATCTACTAAAAGACAGAAAATATTACTGTAGAAACTGCACTGTACATAAATCAGATGAACATTTTCATATTAGTGAATAATATTGCTGTAATTAATTTTAAAACGGAATAAATATAGATTTAGACACATTTAATCAAGTAAATGAACAGAATTAATGATAGGCTAAAAATCTGCAGAATTCTGCGGAAAGTCAACGGATTTCTGAGCGCGCAGATTTCGTGTGGGCCAAACCATAACGTGAAAGTAAATAAGACAACACACTCAATTTATTTACGATTAAAACTAGCATTTGCCATGCAACATGACACAGTTCCTGTGCAGCACTGTCTGAAACAGTTCACAATCAACACAAAAAATGCTGATTTTACCAATTTTACAGATGATTAGATCACAGATGTTCAACAACAAAACTATTCTTCAAAATTAATTTGCATGACGCATTGAGACATTTAGTGATTAAGTGTGACCAAGCATCTTGTAGAATAGTTTATGACGATTATTACACACAGACACACAGACACACTCACCTTGACCAATGAATGTAGACTCCTCTCCCCGAACATAGCGTGTAGAAAGGAACGGTCATCTGGGCTCTCAACATGAGGCTGCAGCTGAGACGGCAGTACAGACAACAGCTCATACAGACCTGAAGAGGAAATACAGGAAGTACATTACACACCCAGACACACACATACACGCAGCCAATACCCAGAGAGAAAATATAGACAGATATAAACAAAAGCCAGAAAATCTGCATTAACAGTCACTTCAAGCACGTCAGAAGGGTTATAAAGATTATTCTCCAGTGGAAGTGTATAATATTGTGTGACATTAGTATAGCATTGGAAAATAAATAAACCACCACCAACAAAAACATTATGGTTTAATTTTATCCCACTCAGTGGGTCAAACTGAAGGCTAAAAAAAAAAAAAAAAAAACCGGTTCTCTCCCATGGTGCACCTCACTTCCTCCGTTTGTCTGGCAACTTCCTGTTTTTCTAGGAATCACAACTGGAGCTGTGAATCAAATCCCTAAAGTTTCATTAGCATGCCTGTGATGTTTGAACAAGCATAAATACACCACCAATCTCTTTAGAATATCTCTAATGTGCTTACACAAAAACAAATACAGCAAAGGAAGTCAGATTATGAAGATGCAAGATCAAATTTTAATATTTTGAATTAATTCATCCATCTTTTTGTATATATTTTTTTTATATTTTTCTTTTTGTACATCTTTTTATATATATTTTAAAAATATGCTGTTGTGACATGACTACAGACAAAAAAAAATATAGCATTATTTAAAGGGCACCTATAATGAAAATCATCTGTTGTAAGCTGTTTGGACAGAACTGCGTGTAGGTATAGTGTCTCCACTGTCATACTGGAGTAATAGAAACACAATAAGTCTCTTTATTTTAATTTCCTGACATTAAAATGAGATCCTAATCCCTCCCATTTTGAGGCCCACTGTAACATGATGTAGGACTGCTGTTTACCCCACCCACTGAATTGATTGACAGCCGCATATTAACATGTCTCCATAGAAACAAAGTGCAAAGCAACTGGGATTACAAGATCTGTTCAGCTCTCTGTGATCATCAATCATCAAATGAGATCAAGAATGAGTTTTACAAGTATTAAATGTTTTTAAAACAGCGCATGTTTGTAATAAATACAGTAAAATCGATTTAATTCATCATCACATCATAGTGTCAGTACATTAATAAAAGAAGATGCTTCAATCCCGGTTTGAGGACATTAAATCAGGTTTATATTTGTACAATAACATATCGGAAGCCCATACAGCAGTGTATATTCAAAACCTCTTGGCCAGCGTCAGGATGTGGACGCACTGGGGCGCTGTTTTTGCACATGTCAGTTTATGAATAGATTACAAAAAAATATGAACACAAGTGATCTTGACAAACTATACATCAGTCTAAAGTTACAACCCTCAAGCAGCCCTTGTAGCTAGTTGTGGCAAGCATCTAAAGAATGTATTTGCTAAAGATGTGTAAGTTGTACAGAACACCGTTATTAGATATGGAGTATATATCATCGTAATAACAACACACACACGCACATTCATTGCTGTTCATCATGGTTAATTTTTAAAAGGTAAGAGTCCTCAGAACAACATCCCATAGAACACATTTAGTCCACCGACACAAGTGTTGTATTAAGAATGGTTATTTGTTTGTGACCTGTTGTTTACACTGTTTACTATGTTAATTACGTGCGAAAACGGCGTCTTTGTAGTAAAAAGTAAGTTGATGTCATAGCTTACAGCTTACAAATGAGATAAACTGAATAAAAAGTCAAAGTTATAGTTACTAAAATCTAAACAAAGCAGATGAGTGTTTTGAGGTTCTGCATTTGCTATCTGTCAGTCACTTTTAGCCAGTAACTTACTTTAGTAAACCTACTTAGTTTCCTTACTGCACCAGCTCTGCACAGCTGTACACTTAACGGTTTAAGAATGGCAAAGAGTAAAAGAGTTAAAAAAAAAAAAAAAAAAAATGGATCTTTGAAAGTTTTACTCTTACACTCATCAGAGAAATACTAATAGATCTCTGTGGCTCTGACACGCATGTGGGAATGGTGGGTGGGGAGAACCAGCTCATTTGCATTAAAGGCACAGGCAACAAAAACAGCTACGATGTACAAACAGCTAAAACTTACCAAATTTAAAAAGGTATTAATAAAAACCCTGATGGGTATTTTGAACTGAAACTTTAAAGAAACGTCCAGGAAACACAAAAGACTTATCTTAAATTTTGGAAAAGAGGTCAAATAGGTGCCTTTAACAGTTTTCTTTTTTGTTTGTTTTTTTTTTTTTTTTAGTTTTTTTTTTTTTTTTTTTACAACATGAAGTAGATGGAATGTTCATTTTTAACAACATGCATTTAAAAAAAGTGCAAAATAACGAAACAGTCTTTTAAAAATTAGTTCTCAAGGTAAACTACAATCAAGACATAAACAATAGGAATTTAATTAATTAATTTAAAAATTGTAAATAAAAAAAATCAATAATATGGCAGGCAAATTAAGTAATATTTTTATAAAGAGGGGTGTGAAGTTAAATAAACAAGTGTGAAGATAAATCGTGTTTTCTTTACAAGTGATTTTTTTTTATCACTGGTCTAAAAAAAATGTTAGTATTGAGCTTTTAGTCTACCAGGGTTATCATAGATGCCACAGAGGGTCCCAAGATCATCAACTTTTGTGAAGTAAATAGCATTGTTAAAGCAAATTGTGTTATCTGATGGATTTTAATGCTTAAAGGATTTGGGATTACTGTTTTACCATATTACCATTGACAATTATAAAAATATTATATAATAATGTAAGGATCAAAGTAAAAAAAAAATAAAATACACCTAATAAAAGATAAACTGGTGATGAAATGATCAAAAACGGTATCATGAAATGATCAAACAGAATCATTTATTACTCTATTCTGTCTGAACAAAAACTTTTGTGATACTGACTAATCTGAAGCATAACCTGGTTAGACATTTGGCCTTTTTTTAATTGTCATTTTAACTTATCAAAATATTCTTCATATTTCATAATAAACCTTTAGCACAGTAATTTTCATAGTCCGCTTAAGCTTCAGTAAATGTTTATCTATAAAACGTGATCCTTTTGAAAACAGACAAATCATTGTGTCACTAAACCACCTATTGGATAAAGCAGCTTGTTACTGTAAATGCGAGAGTGTTTTGCAAACAGCTGAGCTGTTGTCACGCTACTCACAAATGTTAAGTTACAGTGGCACTACTTTTAGTCAGACAGTGCCGAACACTGTTCTGCCAACCGCTGACCATCTGGACCCAGTCTGAGTTTAACAGTAAACATCCAACCTTATGTCCTATAAAAGGATCCACGTAAACTGACCATTATTGGCTGCCAGGCCAAATATACCGGACGGGATGTGAAAGAAAGCTGTGCCAAGCAGTGTTTCCTTTTCACACGCCTACACTTCCCAGCGGCCTCCAGAAAATAACAGCGTTCCTCAGACATCAATGGTGGCGCTAGTGTACAACAGGGCGGAGCGGAGAGTGGAAGGTCCTGCTTCTCAAATTCACAGCATTTATGGGTCAGCAGCAAAGGCCACTGAGAGCAGCTTTAATTACACAGGCTGTTAGGAAGGCAGCAAGGTCACCCAAACTGTCTGAATCCAACCAAACACGCAAAAACGCTTACGTTCACATGCACACAGACATCATGGTTTTCTGGAACAACATGGATATTCTTGGGAGCTCACAAAAAGAAACAAGGATAGCACAAGCAAACACACAAACATATGCCACAAAAGAGGCCGTGCGCATGGGAAATATGCTCCGTTGGCTCCACGTCTGGCTCCTGTTGGCCTCAAACTAGCCAAAAAGAGGACAAACTGGCAGAAACCAGGACCAGATAGATTTACAACAGGCCGCATTCTGAAAGGAACAGTAAAACTGCTTTCTTTGAATGTCTTGTTTGGATGGCTTCAAGAGTCAAGAGTGCAAAAAGATTCAAGCACACACTCATCTCGGTGAACTGTGCAGCAGGAAATGAAAACTGGATTTGACTTCTCTGTTTCGAATTCTGAGAGGGAATATATATGTCAAGCGAATACACGCTCATGAACGGGACCACCTCAGGGGTCAGTATTTCAGGTGAAGAACATGGTTCATGCCTGTCTGTGAGAAAAACAGTGAGTGAATGGAAAAATGAAAACACAGCTGCACTTTGCGGACTTCCATTCATTTTCTCTTTGATTTACCTCCTAAAACAGAAAAACTACATCCGCAGGGAGAAAGAGAGGCCCTCCTGAGCTGACAAATTACAGTAGAGAGAAATAGAGAGAGAACTAGCCGGCCACAAAACAGTCTTAGTTCTAGTGACTATCTTTGATCTGTTTTTGGTGTATTTGTGTGCCTTAACGGCCGATATGCTCTTTTGGCAGTTTGTGTTCACTGCAGGGTTTCATCGCCGTGTTCTCAGCTCCACCCTCCTAAACCACAACACCACATCAGAACTCTTGCCCAGATCTACTAGCATGTTCTGGACCATCTACTCCAATTACACACACACAAAGCCACACACTAAATGGTGTCTAGTCTGGTACATCAATACTGCACATTTACAATACATCTCATGCTTTACTAATTGCTTTTTGTCAAAGCACTATAACTCATGGTCCATTTTGCAATTTAAATGCTTGCAAATGCAACTGCGCAGCAGAGATTTGACAGACTTACTGTGTGTTCACACCAAAGGCGGTGAGAGCGTCAAAGGTTGCCCTGGCAACAACGCTGTCTGCCTTCAGCTCCGGCGGCGAGAGTGTCAAAATTCGCTACATTGATCTTGTATTTAAGAGGGCCGTTGCAGCATATCAGTTATATTCCCGCATAAAAACAAACATTTTTTTGTAAAAATGTTGCACACTAAATTAAATTCATTTAACATTGGAAGATCAAGTTGCATGTGGTGTGGCTTTGCTTTACCTAATTATCCAATATGTCCATGTGTCTGAAAAATTATTATTATTATATTAATATTACTTTATAAAAATTATTATTAATAGAAGACTTTTTTTGCGCGATAAAAGAAATATCGCTGTTAATCTATTCTCAAAGTTATGTTGGGAGC